CGAGTCGATAGAAACATCTTCATCTATTGGAAGAAGGTTCATGTGGCGAGATTTTATCAATTCTGCCTCTTTAGTGTAAAGGTTTGTAATGTTAGGACAATCTCTAGAGAAGTGTCCTGGTAGATTACAAGCAAAACATTTCAAAGCTTGTTTGTATGTTTTGTTTTCTCTAAATTTTCTGACGTGTCTGTCAGGATTTAGAGTTGGTTTTCTCGAATTTGAAGACCTAATCGTGTAAGTCTTTCTAGAAGTTGTGGGTTTTTGTCTTTCAGAATAAGAATTCTGATTGTAGTTTTTATTATACCTAGTTTATTTTTTATGTGGTTTATTTATTAAATATATCTATTTTTTAAAGCTGAATATATAACATTTTAAATATTTTATTCTGAGAGTTCCAGATTTATTAGAAGTTTAAATAAATTTCAAATTGTACGTTGCCTCTATTATATTGCAAATTTGTAAGATTGGTCTTGTAAAACAGCATAACAATAATTTCTTCAAGTTTCACTGTTTTTTCTTTTAATTTTATTTTAACGAGAGAGATTCACAGTGGTTTTTATAACAGGAAGAAAAAGAAAAGATAAAAAATAGAAAGAAAAAAAGTTTTAAAGTCTTGAAATGAGTTTTTATTGATGTAGATCATAATTATGTTTGGACTAATTTTTTACCAACGTTTGTTATAATTTTATTGATAACATTGCTAATTGTTTTTTAACTAAGATGTTTTTTATTGACGTTATTAAAATTATTTTCTATTAAAGTAACTTAGGACTTTTTTTAATTAATATTGGTAGAGTTTTTCTTTATAATATTGACAAAAATTATTTATTAACATCAATTAAAAAATCTTGACGAAGTTATCCAAAGATAATTTCAACCAACTACAATCGAAAAACATTACTAACTTATATTTTTCAATTGATAAATATTATTTAATATTAAAATAAAATTTTGTATTTGATGCTAATTAAAATATTCTATACAAACAAAAAATTAACTGAAAAATAAAGTAATTTAAATTTAATTTTCCTCAAAATTAAAAATTTCATATAAAAATAAATCTTCTATACAATATCATAAAAACAATATTTTTCTTTTAATATATCTCTAAAATTAATTTTGATGAGTTTTAATATCATAAAAATAAACATAATTTTTCACATTTTTCTTGTTATATATATATATTCGATGATACACTCATAATATAACCTAAGATATTAAATCATTGAAATTCTTTTAAAAATATATTTTATATTAAATATAATTAAAAATTTAAGTGTGAATTAAAATTTTAAATTAAATAAAAAAATTAAAAAAACTCATAATTTAGTATAGTAAGATTAAGTTGAAAATAATTTGAATTAACTTGTAATCTCATAATTTTTTATGTTATACTCCTCCTGGTTGGATTACACGTGGAAAACTTTTTCTCTCGTCCTTTTCCTGTTGCTTCCCGCATGTAAGCTCTAATCATTCTTCGATCTGATACGTTTTTTCTTCCCTATCAGTTCAGTTCAGTTCGAAATGGTTCCAAAATCCAAACCATATAGATTATGAAAACTATACGTGAGTATTTGGATGGATACATTCAACCCCATGTGTTAAAATGTAGCGTACGTGAGTTTCAAATCAAAAGCCTTCACGTGTTCAACTCTTCAATTCTGAGTGCATGTCGTTGATGTTGCTATCTGCTGCATGCTTCCCCAATCCACCATTTTGTACCTCTAAATTGACCCTACATCGAATATGTATGACTGTGTTTTTGACCAATTCGCCATGATCTCGACGTTCTCACGTTGGCAACATTGACGTGGTCGGAAGAGAAAACAATCTTTGCAATTGGCTTTGGAAGTGAAGGAAGAACGTTGTGTTGTTGTGGTGGCTCTGGTTCACACCATGAACAGGATTTAAACGAGGCACCCAGAAAAACAAATATTGAACCAAGAAGAAGCTCCCATTGCAATCTCGTATTAAGTTTGCATATTCTTATTAGGTTTGAAATTTTCAGCATAGTAAAACAAATTCATAGAAAAGGTATAGAAATTATTTTTGTTTAAGAAAAATAAAGAATGATAAAATATGTATTTTTATCTTGTTAATTTGACCGTTCAAGCTATATTCCAATTAATATAATTATGACTAAAAATGAAACCAATTAATTTACAATTATTTACGGATAATATAATAGCCGATTCAAATATTATATTACTATTATTTATTAAATAAACTTATTGCAAAAAACACGTAAACAAAATTTTCTTCACTTTACAATAAATCAAAAGATATATTCCATTTTAAATATATCTAGTGTTTAATACTCATAATCATTATTATTGATTTTTTTTCTTAAAATTAAGTATTTAAATTTTATTTAAGAAGAGCACCTGTGTAAAGAGAAAATAAATTGAATGAATTTATCAATATAAATAAAATGGAATGTTAAAGATGATTAGTTATAAAAAAAATAGTAAATTATAGTTGATTAAAAAGTAATAAATGATACTAAATTAAGATTTAAACACAACTTTTGTTTTTCAGCATTCTCCTTCCTAACATTCTATTCTTCATGATTTATGGTTGAAGCCAATCACTGCTATTTTTTTTTCTGTCCAATTTTTCTTCCAGTATTTCAACTCTTTCTCATATCAATATTCCTTTCACTTTCTGTCCCCATGGTTAACCTAAAAGAAATGGAGGAAGATGACAGTGGCTTTTAATGGAGGTTTTCTTAATATCTTCACTGAAATTTAATTTTAATATTTTTTAATACGAATATTGTATCAATGAAATTTCTTAAAAATGGGCATTAATTTATGAAAATGTTTGTAACAAAAATAATATTTATCCCAGATATTATATTGCGAGATATTTTTAAGTCCATAACAAATAAGGAAGGATTTATTACAACATCAAAGATTCTATCATAAATTATTGTATAAATAATATATTTTATTAATTATCATTTTCTAATAGTGATGGAAATTATTTATAACAAGTTGGTTACAAACAATTAAGATTGACCTTTTTACCTACCACAGATTATATATATATTTTTTATTATGTGATTTCAAGATATAAATATATAATAACATTATAATTTTTAAATAATTAATATTTATAAATTAAATTTCAATTATTTTTCACAAAATAATAATTTAATACGTAAATGTTAACATTTTTGTAATTTTTTTAATGAAAATGGTTTATATATATATATATATATATATTGTTTTTAAAAAAATTTACAATAATAAATAAATGTAGATAAAGTGACCTAAATGACTGTTATTTTAAGATTTAGTGAATTGAATTCTTTTGAATTTTGAAAAAAAAATCCATCATGTTTAAGTAAGTATTTAATAAAATAATAATAATAGAAAAATTTTAAAAATGAGATGATTTGTAAATAATATAATAATTCTATTTAGTATCTGGTAATAACAAAGTATTTTAAATAATAAATTACATATATTTAACGTTGATTATAATTAAATAAGCAGATAAATTAATTATACATTATTATGACATAAATAATATTTTTATAATAAATATCATTAATTTTGAGAATATATATATATATATATATATATTATTTATAAAAAATATATAAATAAATTGATGATCCACTGACCTTTTCTAATAGATTAACACGTGTATTCTTCAAAAGAGAAATAAAACATATAAATATATCTTCTATTTTTTTTTTTTAGGAAACTATACAACTTTCCAGAATAGTTCAAGTACATTTTGTAAGTGTAGAACTCATCCACTTTTTCACACACACACACACACACACACATATATATATATATATATATATATATATATATATATATATATATATATATATATATATATATATATATATTATAGAACGTGAGAAATCCAACTCATTGGTGCAATAAAGTTGTAGAAAGTTATGACCTAATTTAAATAACAATTATTTGTAAATATTAATTACATCAATAGCTTTGTTTAAATTCTACTTTTGCTTGAAGTAAATTAAACAAGTTGTTAAATTTTTATTGTCTTAAACATTACTTATACCATTCAATTTTTTTTCATGCGTAAAAGAAATAGTAGCTTTTCTTCACCATTGAAGACTGTTATAAGATTCTGTTCCCTTTGCGAACGGACCAATCAATCTCATTCTATCTTATGTCGTCGTAGACGCCGCCTCATGCACCTGCGAGAGAAAAAAGACCTCTGCATGCTTGATGTTAACGTCACGAACTAGCCACACATGTTTTTATTTATTTCTTTCTGGTTCTAGTAATTCATTACAGAACATAAGCCAAGTCGAAGGAGAATCCAACTTTTACACTTCCTCCAGAAAGCTAAGAATAAAGTGTAGACATCAACAAAAAAACTCAAAGCATGCAACACAATTTTCACATATAATTAAAAAGGGTCAATTTAGATATAATAACTCACACGTCTAGGTGACACCCAATATTTGTAAGATGAAAATTTGCTTGTGTACAAGTTCGAATAACCTTAATAAGATTGAAATTCTGTTTGATCCTCTTTCTAGTCTTCTTTGTAAATTTGGATTTTTTTTTTAATTCTTGATCGAGAAAGGGTGTGTTTACAAAAGAGATGCTTAAATCAGATAATAAGATATAAATGGAATAATAAATATGTAATTATGAACATCATATATTTAAAATTGTAATTTATTTATATAGTATTTCAGTGAACTATATATCTTATAAATTTTGAGTGTATAGTCAAGATGATGTTTGATGTAATTAATCTAATTATTTAACCTAATATGATTGCAATGATTAAACATTTGAAGAGGAATATATGTGTTATACCAACATGCTCTTGCCTTACCTGTTGTATACTATATTTGATCATACAATCAAAACAAAACTTCCATACCATTACGCTATATATACATACACATGTAAGATGTAAAACATAAGCATAGCCTCACCTCAGAAAAAAGGGTGCAAAAAAGGACTTACAAATTAGAGACGAAGAGGAGGTAAGTAATGGAGGAGGCACATAAGGGGGAGCAAGAAAAAGAAAAAGAAAAAGAAAAAGAAAAAGAAAAAGGAGGGGAAGAAGTGAAGTACCGAGGTGTTAGAAAGAGGCCATGGGGTAAGTACGGAGCAGAGATTAGAGATCCAAGAAAAGCCACGGGAAGACAGTGGTTAGGGACATTTGACACAGCAGAAGAAGCAGCTAGAGCTTATGATCGTGCAGCCATTGAATTGAGGGGTGCCCTTGCAATCCTTAATTTTCCTGATGAGCACCATTTTCTATCATCAAATTCTTCAACTACGGCCAATGGAAGTTCTTCTTCTTCTTCTTCTTCAAAACAGAAGGAAGTTATCGAGTTCGAGTATTTGGATGATAAGGTGTTGGAAGACCTTCTTGAGTCAGAAGTGAAGAGAAGGAACCAAGACTAAGAACTGAACTGTTTTCTTTTCTGACACTTGTATTCATATCTGAATTTGTGTTTTAGGGTTAAGATTGTTTTTCCAAAATCTTCATGCCCCCACCCGCCATTTTTAGGGTCTTTGGCATTGATTGAATTCAACTTTTGTATGGTTTAAAATCTCATGCAAAAAACCTTATACTGGGGATGGACCCCAATATTTCCTCAGAAAATGAGTGAGCTAGTTTTTCTATTTTTCATATCTCAACCACTATAATATCATTCTGAAAGTAGTTGTAGATAGTTCAGAGGTAGGGTATTTGAAAAATTTGTTCTTCCATTGCTATTATAATAGTGGGATTTAATTTGGGTGATGAATATACTGAAACCTCACCATTATGTGTGGGAGTGTAAAATTTTTGCATGTTAACTGGTGCCTGATGCATGAGGTTCAACTATCTCTTTGAAAACTTCTTGAAAGAGTTTCCATGAATTATGTTCATCAACTTTTAGTAACTTTTTTATTCTATCAAATTGAGTTAATTTCATTTTTTTTTATAATATGTGGATAGAATTGAATATTGGTAAAATCTCTTCTAACTGACACTGAACTTATTTTCTTCCAAGGCTGGCTTCAAATTGGAGATTCTTGGAAGATGATGGAAGTAAGGAGATGGATTTAACTGATCAAACGGTTGGAAATTTTGAGGTTGGTTGCTTCTTTACGCTGCTATTTTGCAATTTTACTATTAGGTTAATTTTTTGGGTGTACATGGTCAAATAAAATTGAAACCAAGTATTTACCATTAAACATATTCGAAATCAATCGAGAGTAAAAGTTTCACATTAGATAATAATAAATAAAATGAGCAACATAAATCAACCACAAATCTCTTACTTCTAAAGTTTTGAAAGGAAAACAGTGCTTGGTTTTCTTATATGTAGGTTAATGAAAAATACTCATCCAATAGTAATTGGTTGATTAATTTATTTTTATCAAAGTGAATTAAATATATAATTTTATGTATTTTAAGGGCTTACATGACTATATACTTAATTTGGATATACTGAAAAATCCCCACAATAGTGTTTTTATTAGGTTAACTCCAATGAGCAAGTATTTTTTTTCCTTTTTTTATAAGCCTCAACCAAGAAATATGATTTTTCTTAGCATGTGTATGATTGTACGATTTTACAACGTGATTATAAGAGCATCTTCAATTCAGAAATATGATTACTTAGGTTTTATAATAAATTTCCATTAGAACATAGTTATGATATGATGAGAGAGTCTAAAGTTTAAGATATGTGTCTTAAGAATAAGAGAAGATTTGTTTATTAATAACTTAATTATTGTTTACGGTGTAAAAAAATTATAAAAATATCACATAAAATTATATATTATTGGAGTAAAAATTGTAAGAGTGTCTTAAAAATAATGTAACATAAGGATAAAGTAATCTATCAAAGGATTAAAATGGCTAGTTAAAATATTTAAATGATGCATGATGTCATTACTTATGTAAAATGAGCTAATTACGATATAATCCATATATATACATTATATTTTCAAAGGTTGAGAGTTTCTTTTGACAAAAAATTGAATCATTATAAATTCATGTCAAATCATGTACACCAGATCCATTTGAATAATATTAATGTCAAATCAAATCATTGACACTGCAAGTCCAATATGATCTACGGCATGCTTCTTAAAAAAATGATATCGGGCAATTTTGAATTAGCTTGGTTGCAGGATTCTGAACTGTGGTCAATTGATCTAAAAATTAATATAAGACAACAAAATGAAATTAATTGTATAAAATAGAAAATATATATATTTTATAACTCAGGGTACAAACAAAAGAAAACAATAAGTCCATTTATATATATTTTAAATTAGAGAAACAAGAAATAATATAAAATAAAATGACTATGTATGGCTTACTATTATTATGATGTCAGATTCTTATTTAAGTTTTGTTGGTTGCTTTTAATAACTTTAAATAAAGAATGTTATCTTGTCTCTGCTATTTAAAGTTTCTAGGATCTGTGAATATTATAAGGGTCTATATAACTGTAGTTTATAAAAGTGACGAACTATGGACATCATGTGACAGAATTTATCTGTTGGAACCTGTCCAAATATACTCATTCTAGTCTCAGTTCTTTCCAAAATATATGAGCAAAGTCAAAGAAGAGTCCAACTTTTACACTTCCTCATGAAAGCTAAGAATCAAGTCAATAAGAAGGAAGAAAAAACAAAGGGTTAGAACCCTACCCAATTCTGTCATATAGAGGCTGCTATAGATACATACATATAAAGAGTTGAAAGAAAGAAATGAAATATTGAAGAGAGACAAAAGTTGATTTAAGGGTAAGATATATGGAGAAAGCGAGAGGAGAGGAAGAAGTGAAGTACCGTGGTGTGAGAAAGAGACCATGGGGTAAGTTTGGAGCAGAGATTAGAGATCCAACAAAACCTACTGGAAGACAATGGTTGGGGACATTTGACACTGCAGAAGAAGCAGCAAGAGCTTATGATCGTGCAGCCATTGGTTTGAGGGGTGCTCTTGCGATCCTTAATTTTCCCGATGAGTATTGTTCTCATCTTCCTTTTGTATTGTCAAATTCTTCTGCTATGGTCAACAATGGAAGCTCTTTGGATAGGAAGGAAGTTATAGAGTTCGAGTATTTGGATGACAAGGTGTTGGAGGATCTTCTTGCGATAGAAGAGAAGAGAAGGAATGGAGATTAGGAACTTCTAAGGACTGCATTTCTTTGAGTTCATACTTTTTTATTTTATCTCATTCCATTAATATCTGAACCAAACCTGTGTTTTAGGGTTCTGATTGATTTCCAAAAATCTTCCCCCACCTTCCGTTTGACATCGATTCAATTGAACATGCTTCAAAAATCTTGCAATTAATGGAACAAAATCTTGCAATAATATCGCTCATTTACATGATTTGGATGCCCCATTCTTACTCACGTGTATATTATAATATTATCTTCATTTCGATTTCGATATGCCATCATTTACATTTTGGTTAAGAAATTTGTATATGGTCTGAAGGTGGATTGTCTTGTGGAATGTGTAATAGGAACGAGGGTTAGCAAATTCATTAACCTGAGATGTTGTAGGTGACGTAGAGATGAAATTATTACAAAAACATCCAAATCCAATTGTAAAATATTTGAACAAACTAAAATCAAATCACACAATACCCTAATCATTAATAATGAATGGGTGAAAATCTCAAGTGCCACACACACCACAATTCACATTTAATTACACAAGTTTATAACAAAACTTTAAACTACACATGGCTAGAGTTTCTTTGTTCTCAAAATCTCAACTCACAGAAAGATGATCAAAACCTTTCAAATCTTCTGAAGATTCCTCATTTCAATTTTATTTTTAGAGAATAAGACATCTTATTACCATCAAAAGATTAATATTGATGTTAAAAACGTACTTACGACTATATAAAAACCTAAAATCCTTAAAACTGTAGTTCTATGTAGGCCAAAATCATGAACTACAATCAACCACAAATCCACGACACAAACGTTCATCCATTCTCTAACTTGTAGACCTTATAATAAAGTAAAAGGCAATACCTGAGACTTGCTTTAGACATCTCAATGGTTTATCTGCGTACAATGCAAATATCCCATGATTTAACAAGTCATCCCCCTTGTGATGGATCATACATACAAGTAATTAATATCATTGTTAAAAATGACTTGAAGTAGTAATAAGTCAAAAACAATATGTTCAAAGTGTAAAATAACTATGAACTTATATGCTAGCTGATAAATTTCAAATTTAATTTTGCCAATCATAACTGAAACCTGAATGTTTGCAAGGCACAAACAAAGACACTAGAAATGCAGAAAACATGAACATTTTCAGAGATGAATATGAACTCTGAAATAGTGAACACTAAACACAAGTTTGATATTAATGCAGGCGCAAAAATTGTAGGAGAACACAGATAGTTCACTTCTTCTCTCTCTTCTCCTCTAACTCAAGAAGATCTTCCAACACCTTGTCATCCAAATACTCAAACTCAATAACTTCCCCTTGTGCAGTAGAAGAACTTCCAATAACACTAGCAGAAGAAGAGGAAGAAGACGATGATGACAAGAAAGGGAGATGAGAATGGTACTCATCAGGGAAATTAAGGATTGCAAGGGCACCCCTTAATCCAATGGCTGCACGATCATAAGCTCTTGCTGCTTCTTCTGCCGTGTCAAATGTCCCCAACCATTGTCTTCCCGTAGGTTTCGTTGCGTCTCTGATCTCTGCTCCAAACTTACCCCATGGCCTCCTTCTCACACCACGGTACCTACCTTCTTCCCCTCCCTTCTCCTTCTCTTTCTCCCCTTTACGTGGCTCCTCCATGTTGTTACCTCTTGTTCTTCGGTTTTTTTCCCAGTTAACAGTAGCAATAACCTTATTCGAGACACAATTTGATATCAACTATAAATACCTCTTCTAGCAGAAACTCCAACGTCGATTCAGTATGTTGTGAGAGACTAGTGTTTTGGTTAGAACTCACCTGTTGATATGTTACCTGTTTGCTTATCAAAACCTTGTTCTCTTCTTTTGCACCTCTTTTTAGGGTCAGTTATGCCTATACCATACATTTATGTATTATAGACAGCATCGTTAATAGTATTCTGCCACGTTTTCTTAGAATCTTTCACGATGAAGTATAAAAATTCGATTCATCGACTTACATTAACTGGGATGAAAATATTTAGACCGGCTGACCCAAAAAATGACTATTTGGACAGAGTAAACAGCATCATGTCTTACGATGTATATGGTCCGTGACTTTAACATGGAATGTTCAGTGCACTTTCTCTTTAAGGTTTATGTGGGGTTGTGATAGCTTAATGCGCGTATTGAATTGGTTAATAGATTAATTAACTGTGACCTAATTCAAGTTTGCTAAGAACAATGAACTTGCATGTTAACACCATGATTTGACCAAGATCAACTGGGTGTTTACTGAATTGACCTATTTTGCAATAATAAGATTCCTTTCATTCTACAATTTTGGTTAGAATCAAACGCCTTTAGTTTTCCTTTTTTGGTAGATGAATGAATGGAGGCAAAAACCCCTTTATTTCATTATCTCTTTATTTTTTTATTTTTAAAGAATTTATTCACTTTTATCTAAAGTTTGGTACTGATCTTTCTTATCCATCGAGGAAGTACATTTGAACAGAGAATCTCAAATGATAATGTAACAATTCATAAATATGGTCAAATTCTCTTTTAGTTCATTATGGGTAAAATTTCGACTTTAAAGGTTTATATATAAATTATGGAAGACTTTCTATTTGATGCAAAATCATTCCAAAAGAATGTAGATCATATATAATTCTACATCAGTCACTATCAACAATGCTTATATTTCATTTTATTGTTCTTATAGGAGTTACTCATAAGAATTCTCAGGAGATAAATACATAATTTTAATATGGATCATTCCTCGATTTGTTTAAAACAATATAATCAACATTAAAATAATATATTTTATTCTTAAGAAATCTTTTAAACAATTCTCTTATTAAAAATGTTTTAATATAAAATTATATATTTTCACGTTAGTTCATAATTAATGTAGAAAATATTTATTTTTTCTTTTAATGTATATTTTGTCTATTTTTGAGAGCATCCCAACTTGTCATGCTCATGAGTATTCATATTCACAACATTGTTGTCTGAAGGGATTGGGTAGCCTTTTTATTTTTCAAATATGCTTGAAGTTATTTTAGTCAGTCACTTAGAGAAATGAGTGACAGCGATGCAGGAAGAAAGAGGCCCAAATTTATACATTGAGGCCCAAGAAAGGCCTGAGAATGTCCAACAATGTTGTTAACAGGCCCAACAAACAGAAAAGTTCTGTAAGTCCATAATCGATCTACTAATGAGAGCGGTGGAAACAGAAGTGTAGTAAAAAATATTACCGCATACACCAACATGTAGTTATAAGTAAGAATTCTGCATGTTCATTTGAATTTTAGGTTTTTAATTAAATTTATTTTATTTCAATTAATATTTTAGGATTTTGTAATCGTCACCATTCATCATTTCTTAAAAAAATATATAAAAAATTAATAGAAGTATACAGTCTATTAATGCATTTTAATTTTAATTTTATTATTATTATTAATATTTATTTTTAAAAATATTGATAAATATGATATATCTTAGTCCACTTTGTTAGATATTGTTTAGATATTATTTGATATTGTTAAGATATTGTTAGATATTGGTAACCACAATATCAAACAATATCTTCTGTTTATTCTGTTACTTTCAGTTACTCTTTTAGTTGAATCTCTTTACTATAAATAGACCACCCTATGTGTGATTTATACACAAGGGAAATTAATTTCAAACCCTATTTTCTCTATATTCAACATGGTATCTAGAGTTTAAGGTTATCTTGAATTTTTTTTCTTCGCCTTTTGTCCACTGCTAGAGCCGCCCCACCGCTGCTAGAGTCGCCCCACCGCTGCTAGAGCCGCCCCACCGCTGCTGGTAAACTGATCCTCCATATCAGAAAAGAATTATCTTTGTCATTGAATTTTATTTGGTAGTGTGAAAGTGCATGTTTAGGAAAGTTCTGGCAAGGAAAGACTTGGTATTTAAGTGTGTCCATTAGTGACCCACCTCTCTTTCCTGGGAACTTACCTAGTGTATTAGTTCACGTTACTGTCATCGCTGCCGCTTGAGCAGTCACCGGGTCCACCGCTATCGGAGAATTCGCCGGAGTTTCATTTTTTTTTACCGGTGACATATGATTTTGCTTGTCTTGGTCAGGTGACCACCGTGCCATTGAGATGACCACTATCGGAGTTGGTCGTCCCATTGTCTCCTGCACCGTTTAGTCTTGGCGAACTTATTTTTAGTATTCTCATTTTGGATTTGTGCTTCGTGGGTTAATTGGATTACTTTGGATTATTTTAGGGTTTGTTCTCCCGCTCTTCATGACTTCTTCCACTATTTCCAATTTTGTTAACGATTCTTTTGTGTTGACATCCCATCGTGATGACCGGGCTCGCCCTCGCAAACAGGAAAAAGGGCGTCCTAAGTGTGAACATTGTGGCAAGCTAGGTCACAAGATTAACAAGTGTTATACATTACATGGTCGTCCTCCTCAGTCTGCTATAGTTGTTCAAACCAATCTTTCCCCACCTTTATCTGCAGGGGATCTTCCTTCTTCTGTTGCATCCGACATGTCTGCTATGTTCAACAAATTTCTCGAATGGTATAAGGATCAACGAGTCTTCTAGTTCCACTATATCCGTCACACATACAAATACATATTTTGCTTGGTCCGACCTAATCATTTTCTCCTGGTCCTTGGGTTTTTGATTCAGGAGTCACCGATCATATTACTGGTAACAAATCTTTGTTCTCCTCTTTATCCTCTCCTAATCATTTACCTTCATTACACTTGGCGATGGCTCTAGAGTATCATCTCATGGTGTTGGAACGGTTAAACTTTTTCCTTCTTTAACCATTGATAATGTTCTTTATGTCCCCGGGTCTTCTTTTAACCTTGTTGTCCATCGGTCGTCTAACTCGTTCTCTTGATTGTGTTGTTACTTTTACCAATAATTCTGTGTGTTTACAGGACCGGAGTTCGAAACAGGTGATTGGCACGGGATGTGAGTCTCATGGTCTTTATTATCTCCAGTCCCTCTACACATGTTAGTACGGTTATGGAGTCTCCCTCTCTTCTTCATGCTCGGTTAGGTCATCCAAGTCTTGCCAAGTTACGGAAACTTGTCCCTGCCTTGTCTAACTTATCTAGTTTGGCGTGTGAGTCATGTCAATTAGGTAAGCATAGTCGTACTTCCTTTCCTCGTAGTTTCACACGTGGTGCTTCGTCCCCTTTTGCCGTGGTTCACTCTGACATTTGGGGACCTAGCCGCGTTAAGTCTACTTTAGGTTTTCAATACTTTGTTACTTTCATTGATGATTATTCCGGATGCACTTGGTTATTTTTGATGAAAAATCGTTCGAATTATTTCATATCTTTCAAACTTTTTTTAATGAAATTCAAACTCGGTTAGGTGTTTCTATTAGAGTTTTGCGTAGTGATAATAGCCAGTGAATATCTTTCTCATTCTTTTAAACAATTCATGGCTTCTCACGGTATTTTGCATCAAACTTCTTGTGCTTATACACCTCAACAAAATGGTGTAGCTAAACGTAAAAATAGACATCTTATTGAAACAACTCGCACACTTTTAATTCATGGAGATGTTCCTCAACATTTTTGGGGTGATGCTCTTCTTACTGCATATTATCTCATTAATCGCATGCCTTCTTCGGTTTTAGATAATAAAATACCTCATTCCATTTTATTCCCTCATGAACCACTTCATCCTTTACCTCACGAAAGTTTTCGGATCTACATGTTTTGTTCATAATTTCAGTTACAGTGCTGGACAAGCTTTCTCCTAGATCACATAAATGTGTTTTCTTAGGGTTTACAAGATCACAAAAAGGATACAAATGTTTTTCTCCTTCTCTTAACCGTTATTTTGTGTCAAAAGATGTCACCTTTGATGAGTTGTCTCTTTATTTTAAAAGTCAAACTTCACCTCTGTCTCCATCCAATCTTGTCAACACTCCTAATACATTTAATGTTCCTGTTGTTTGTGACCCTCTAACTGTGTCTTCTTCACCATTAGTTCCTGCTCCGCAGTTAGCTTCTTCTCCACTGCCTCTTCAGATTTATAGTTCTCGAAACCAATCACAACCACCACCATGTGACTCTACTCAAGTGCCAACTACTCTGTCTCCTCCGGATCTGACACATGAGTCTGACCTTCCCATTGCCCTCCGAAAAGGTATTCGTTCACTGTCATTACCTTTTTATACATGTCTTTCCTCTATTTCTTCTGTGACCATTCCAAAAACTGTCCGTGAAGCTTTAGTCCATCCTGGTTGGCGTCAGGCCATGTTAGATGAACTAAGTGCTCTTCATAATAGTGGAACTTGGGAATTGGTCCCGTTACCGTCTGGGAAATCTGTTGTTGGTTGCAGGTGGGTGTTTGCTATCAAAGTTGGACCTGATGGTACTATTGATCGCCTCAAAGCTCGTCTTGTGGCCAAAGGTTATACTCAAATTTTTGGGTTGGATTATGGAGATACCTTTTCCCCTGTGGCAAAGATGGCTTCTGTTCGTTTATTTATCGCCATGGTTGCTCTTCAACAATGGCCTCTTTATCAACTGGATGTTAAAAATGCTTTCCTCAATGGTGATTTGCAAGAAGAAATATATATGGAGCAACCTCCTGGGTTTATTGCTCAGGGGGAGTCTTCTGGGATGGTATGTCGTCTTCGCAAATCCCTATATGGCCTAAAACAGT